TGATGAAAGGACAGGTATAATCGAGAACAGGTGTGATGAAAGGACAGGTATWAWAGAGAACCGGTGTGATGAAAGGACAGGTATAATAGAGAACAGCTGTGATGAAAGGACAGGTATGATAGAGAACAGGTATGATGAAAGGACAGGTATAGTAGAGAACAGGTGTAATGAAAGGACAGGTTTGTACCTCAGTTGCTGTCAGGTCTCCATCTATAGCAGTATCAGTCAGTTCAGTCTAAAAAACAGTAATAATAGTTTTTACTTGAATGTGTCACAGTGAAGACACTATTTTAGGTCAACCAATCAGTGTGAGACTGGTGGGACAACAAACAGATGGGACAGGTGAAACAGGTGAGACTGGTAAGACACATGGGACAGGTTGGACAGGTATAACAGCTACCTTTGTATCTTGTTTCTGAGGAGTTGGGGGACTCTGTTGAGAAACTTCTGTTTCTCTTGTCCCATTTTTCACCTCCTCCAGCTGCTGTTCTGAGTCTAGATGCTCCTGGTGTACCTCCTCCTCCACCACCACCACCAGAACCTCCTCAGCTAGAAGACAGGCGAGAAAAGGAAGTCCAGTGCATTGGTCCCTCCTCYTAATTAGACTTTTTGATTCTTCTGATATGTGACTCCATTGAACAGTTCGATGTCTCTGACTGACTGGCTGCAGCAGACAGTTCAAAACATCCATCCAACCAAGCAGTTAATCAGAGGAACCTAACCATCTTTTTTATCCTGGGGTTTCTGGTTGTCACTGAATGTGTATGTGTTACTGACAAAAGAGGAACCTAACCATCTGACAGAGCCAATAGGTCTTTATGAAATCATTGGCTCCATCAGATGGTTTAATATGTAGCATGAAGGACCCCTTTTTATTGAAATGTACTKCAACAACTGACAAATGTTATGAGTGAACATCATTTAGTATTATGTTTGCTGAGACATCTTTGTAAATGTGTATGTATCAGTCATTTATTTACCAGTATTCAACGTAAACTGAGTGGTAGCAGCTGAACCTCAGAGCACTGAAGATGGGTCGTGGCTGTGTCTTCCAACATGAGAAAGACCCAAAGCACACAGCCAGGAGAACCAAGGACTGGCTCCATAACAAGCAAGGTTCTGGAGTGGTCTAGCCAGTCTCCAGACCTAAACCCAACAGAAAGTCTTTGGATGGAGCTCAAACTCCGTGTTTCTCAGCGACAGCCCAGAAACCTGGCTGATCTAGTCTGTGTGGAGGAATGGGCCAAAATCCCTGCTGCAGTGTGTGTAAACCTGGTGAAAAACTACAGGAAATTTTGACTTCTAACTGCAAACTAAGGCTACTGTGACAAATATTAACATTGATTTTTTTTTCAGGTGTTCAAATACTTATTTGCAGCAGTAACACAAATTATTTAAAAAATCATTCTTTGTGATTTCTGAATATTTTTTAATTTATGTCTCTCACAGTGGACATGCAATTAAGATGAAAATATCAGACCCCTCCATGATCTCTAAGTGGGAGAACTTGCAAAGTCACAGGGTGTTCAAATACTTATTTTCCTCTATGTATATAGAGAATTTTTAAGACAATATTTTTGCCATATTTTTTCCTCAGAACTGAGTGACTGCATATATTTTTTCCCTGTGCTTGGTCAATAAAAGTAACATTCACTGACTTCCACGATGTTTTCTCTTCATTTCTTTGAGTGTTCCTGAAAKCCAACAAGTTGACCTTTGGAATGACCTTATTATTGTATCATGTTTTTGATCTGAGTTTGTTTTACAGAATGAAATGTCTGGAGGATTGCTCATCCAAGACTGCTGATTCCAGACTTTTTGCCAGGGGTTGTACAAGCCTAAGTGTCAAGGGGGATTGCAATATTAATAAAGCTTCTTACATGTGTTCTTACCTGTGTCTCCAACAAAGCTGTTAACATTTCTTGTTTGAATTCTGTTGATATCAAATCTTCTCAGAATTTTTTTGTGACCAAAACAATTTTATAACTAATATATAATAAAAGATGAAGTTGGTCCTCAACTAACACTTTCAATCAACATGAAAATCTTCTGAATTAACAATCATCATGAAGGACATCTGGAGTCTGGTCGTTGCTTTCTTACCTGGCTCCTGCTTCCTTTCGTCCATTCTCCTCTCAGGTGTTCCTGTGATGATGAGATCACCAACAGCAATGGCTTTAGATGCTCCGTACAGCCCTGAGCCCATATCTGTGCACATGCGCGCACACACACAAACACACACACACACACACACACACACACACAACTATGAGGTTACTGACATGCTCTTACCTCAATCAGACAGGAAACGCAGCCAACAAAATGACCATAGCAAAGCATCATAACAGCTCATTGCCAAAGCAATGGCACACTCAGCCAATCAGAGCTCAGGGTACATGCAGAGCATCCTGGACTAACCAATCAGCAGTGAGAAGTGTCACCAAGCTCGACCCTACAGATCGTTGGTGTTCAGAATAACAGTTGTGGTTTGAATGAGTCAATCAAGTTTATGTTAAAGATTTGAATGAAAACCTCTACTTCAGAGTGAAACCTGCAGCTCAGGTGATGTTTTTAATTGTTTTATTTATTTTCCTTTAATTTTCTGTAAAATAAGCCTCGGGCAAACAGTCCAGGTACAAAAACTGTCAGTTTGGAAAATATCCTGAACTACCAGCAGCTGACAGTTCTGATGGTCACATGTATAGTTTTTTTATATCAGTAGTGTCTTCTGTAGGTACATACTGTAGATACATACAACCTTCCTTCCTTGTGTGGAGAAAAACATCTGAACTCAGATATAATGGAATACAGTAAGAACTTTGGTAGGTTCAATCTAATTCTGACCTCTGGGAGAATTGGAAAGAAAACCATTGCTGTAGCAGGTAGACACTGGGTCTCAGTGGGACCCAGACAGAGAGACCAGTAAGGTGTAACACCTGGGGGACCAAGTCAGGAGCATGGCAGCTGAGTTTTACATGAGTTGCTGATGATCCAAGAAATATTTACTAAGGCAGGTAAGAACAGAAACACAGCAGTCACTACAGGAGAAAAACCAAAGCATTTCCACATCCACAAGGAAAATCACTGCACTCAGTTTGCAGATATTTCTTATCTGGAAAATAAAAAAAACAAGAACGAATAACAGGTTTCTGCTCATTCTCCTTCCTTCTCCTGCTGATTTCTCATTGTTCCCACCTATGCTACTGCCTATTTAAACACCTGTCTTCACCTACTCAGTGTGAGACATGTCTACATGTTTATTGTTATTATTTCTATCATGTTTTTTCTTTGTCTCTTCCAGAAGAAGGTGCACCTGGACCAGTCCTGGACCAGTCCTGGACCAGTTCTTCTGTGTTTGTCTGCGTCTCTTTCCTGTCCCTCAACCAGCCGGTCGAGGCAGATGGTCTCCTGTCCTGAGCCTGGTTCTGCTGGAGGTTTCTTCCTGATTAGCAGGGAGTTTTTCCTCTCCACCGTTTGCTCAGGATGGGAGACTGTGATGAAGTGATTCAACACAATCTGCTGCTWWMTTCTTTACATTGTTCTTTTTATCTACAGTGTCCTGAGACAACGTRCGTTGGGACTTGGTGCTATATACAGTAAATAAACTGAATTGAAATGAATTGAGATCTTCTGCCTTTGTCACAGTCCTCAGTCACTGGTTCATGCTCTAAGAGTTTACCTGGTTTTGACCCTGCCTGCTCCTAACCACTGCACACCTTACTGGTGTGTGAGTTTTTGACTTCCTGTTGCTGAACTTTGCCTGACCCTGACTCTGTTTCTAATTTGTTGTATTCTGGATTTCCACCTGTGCATGACCCTGGACTGTTTTTAGACCATGAAATATTGGATTGAGGATGCAATAGTCTCTGCTTTCAGTGAACTTCTGAGGCCCTCCAGCCCACTCATTCACAGCTTACCCAACCTTGCAGAAGCTGGATTCTTGGACTCGGTGGATCCCWGATACCTGATAAATCTCCTCTTTGTTTTCCCTTGTTCTCATCAAGTCACAATACTCATCTCTTTTTTTGTGTTCCAGACCCACCAGTGCAACCAGGTCTAAGCAGGACCCCTTCAACACCATCCCATAGTGTCTTCTAAAACCTTTTAGAAACTTCTTCTTGGTCTTGGCTGCATGTTGGGTTCTGGCTCTTTTGCTTAAACGTTACAAGGAGACTGAAGCAGACAAAGGTGGATTAAACAAAAAATGGATAAAATTGCAGCAAAAGAACATCCTAAAGATATGGACTGAAATAAAAAATATCACTGGTTGTGCTAAGAAGAGTCAGATGATGGACGGTGGTGAGAGCAAGGCCATATGTTCTTTAAAGGCTTGATGGAACAGTGACAGTAAGGTGATGCATTTTTACAAGTGGGGGTGGCTGTGGTGGAGTGGTTAGTGGATAGTGGAGTTGTCCTGGAACCGGAACGTTGCTGGTTCGATCCCCTGTCCAGCCTTCTCAGTCATTGTGTCCTTGGGCAAGACACTTCACCCTCCTTGCCTACTGATGGTGGTCAGATGGTGATCTGGTGGCACCAGTGCATGGCAGCCCCACCTCTGTCAGTGTGAAGGGCCTTGGGGTCCAACTGGACTTGATAAGGTGCTATCTAAGTTCAGACCATTTACAAATACACTGGGATCATTTTGGATGATAAGCTAAACTGGACCCTTAACACTGATGTATTGTAAAAGAAGAGGTGGAGACACCTTTTCTTCCTGCCACAGCTGAGATCCTGTCTGTGATGAGACAGGGTGGACATTTTTCTTTCATATACTGCTGTGTTGCAGCTGCAATCTGACAAAAACATCAAGAGACTTGAAAAGTTCAGTGTTTGGCAGGAGGCTGAACTGCAGGATGCTCCAACTCATTGTCTGTTATTCTGATGTCATGTGGAACATATTATATTCTAATGACTAGCTTGTTAACTGTTTTTACTTCAGGCATATGTTTTTCATCACTCAGGGTTCAAATCAGGAGCACTCATTGGGATTTCTGCAGTTTGTTAGGGATCAGAGGTCAAGTTTCTGAGAATAATAGATGAGCAGAATGAAGTGGGACTGGTCTGGATTAGGGTTAAGATAGGTTTTGTTGGACTGGATAATGTGGAAGTGCATGGGGTTGAGAAAGGATTAGAGACCTCTCAGAAGAAGAAAAAGATACAGCTGACTCTTCCAAGTCTACATGTAATGTGAAGTGGATGAAGGAACTAACAGTAGCAGCAGATGGCATGAGGTGGAACTGGAGGCTGAAGAATAATGCAGAAGATGATTGAGGTGACCATGAAGACTAGAAATTATCCTTTATTTTTTCTAACTGGAGTTGTTTTAAATGGTTTTGCAGACCACCTTCCAATGTAAGCTCAGGCACCTGTGTTGATGACCGCATACATATCTGATATATGATTGCATCAACACAAACAGCTAATCAAAGGTGGATCTGAAAAAAGCAGAGCCAGTCAGAGCACAGCATTCTCCAACAAGCTAAGAGAAACTCTGACTAATCACAGTGCAGAAGTGCTCTGCCGGCTGCAGCTACAACTACCTGAGTGGGCACCACTGTTGACTTTAGGGAACGCAGTGATGGCTGGAGAGCCAATCAGGGAAGAGGTAGGTGTGGTCCTGGAGGCTGAAGACCAATCAAATTGGGTAATGAACATTTGAAATAATGAACTGACCAATCATGGACTCCTTTACAATTTAAACCAACTACAAGTACATGTGCAACAGAAAACTGGACTATAAAACCTGCTGCAGACAGCTTCGATAGCATTGAACATCTAGGACCAGAACTACCACAGGACTACAACTGTTAAAACTGAGAGATTAGGTCTAAGACCAGAAATGTCTGGAATGGTTCATCTAAGCAAGTTAGTGATACTACTATTTGTACTCCTGAATCCAGGACTAGTGTCATCACAGTCAGTACCTCCATCTAGGCTGCGGCTGAGCATACTCTTCTTGCTGATGCATCTGGGGAAGTTCGGCGCAGGTCTGGAAATCTGAGCACTGGCTCTACGACTCTGAATCTGAGTCCGTCCACTGTAGCGAAACTTTGAACCAAGAGACAGAAACCTTTTTGGTGGTTCCTCTGGAGACACCAGCCTGTGAGACAGATTGGTCAGATGTCTCCTGGTTATATGGTTCTATATGCTGACAAACAGTGACTGACCTGAAGAAGGAGTGATGCTCCACACACACTTTCCACAGCCGCTTTGCTGCTCTGTGGTTCAGCAACTTGAAACCAATGATGGACTCAAACTGGTCAAACTGGGACAAAGAGAGACACATGGCTTCAAATGAAACCAGTGGGAGTGTCTACAGAACATATTTTCAAACACTGAGCATCCAAACACATTCACATACACAGGTTGTTAGACCTCCAGGTGTGTCACACTGAATTTCTGAGGCGCGTTTTAGTGACGTTTTGGTACCATATCAGAACATTATAGAATGCTGCACAGTTAAAACACAATTAAGATGTTGTTTGTTTATCAAACAATCACTGTCGGATTTTAGGGTCATTGTGTTCTCTCTCTTTGTGGTACAGAATGGACAGTTCTCACCTCTCCTGGTCGGATTTTAATGTAAAAGTTGTTCCTTTTGTACGAAATCTTGACAATTTTTGGCCACGAGAATCTATTGATCCTCAGTCTGTCTCTGTACACCAGAAGGCCGCTACTGCACACGCCCAGCATGATGGCCACGCCCTCGGAGTCCTGCACATAAACACAGAAACGTCACAGATTCATGAATAACAATCACTTTAACCAAACTACAGGTCTATGGGAGGCTGCTCTCTAAATGTGAGCCACCTGAGGACACAGCTAACACCTGAGGACACAGCTAACACCTGAGGACGGGGACAGGGTCATGACACAGCAGAGTTTGGGGTAACAATGGAGAACAGAAAGACATTAAACAGGACCACACGAAGACATGGACACATGGGAAACAAGCTTACCTCCGACTTAGCAGCAGACAAGCAATCAAAACGATTTCCTACCATCTACTCCTCCATACAGCCAGACAAACACAGACAGATGGACAGACAAACAAAAAGAAGAAGAGCTCATCTAAATGTAGCATGTCAAACAGAATGCTAACAGTCTGAACAGAGATAGTCCCTGTGGGCTCATAAAGGTGTGTGGAGGTAAATAACACAAACCCATCAACTCAACTCTTTACTCTCAGAGTGAAAGCTGCTATCATTTAAGGTTCTCCCTTCTTGTTCAGGTAAACTCACCATAAATCTCCTCTCAATGTTAAACTCAAACTGAATCCAGTTCCAGAACCATCTGCACTAAATGTTTGGTTCTGGCCCATTTGTTTCTCCGGTCAACATGAGTTTAAATATTCCTGGGACTTAGGTCCACATGCTTGAAGCCACTGAAAATTAGTTTTCTTTAAACAGATTCCCATGGATGACTGGCACTGGAAAACCTAATCGAACCAGAGCCTTTTCACTGACCCAGTCCTGGTCCTAAAATCTGATCCAGTTAAAGGTTTACTGAACTGCACTGTTAAAAGCCCCATCAATAAAATAGTTGTTTTATTGTAACATTTTTATTTTTTGGTCAAAATAATTTCACTTTATTTTCTCAGTGAAATATTTATTTCACTCAGGTGAGGAACCAGACAAAGCGCAGCCCGAAGACCCCTTATGGATACAAACATTGGATCTGGCGTTCCCTCGCCCGGACGCGGGT